TTGTTGTTGTTGTTGTTGTTGTTGTTGTTGTATTTGTTGTTGTTTTGCCATAGATGTTGTTACTATTACTACTGTTACCGTTGTTGCTACTACTACTGCTGCTGTTATTTTTGTTGTTGTTGTTGTTGTTGTTGTTGTTGTTGTTGCAGTTTTGTTGTTATAGTTGTTTTTGTTGTTACTGCTGTTCTTACTTCTGTTCGTGTTGTTGTTGTTGTTGTTTTTGTTGTTGTTGTCGTTTTTGTTGTTGTTTCTGTTGTAGAAAAAAAAGTTGAGGACAGTTCACTTTTTCCTAAAATAGACAGTGGGTGCAAAAATTTGGAAAACCCCACAGAGAAAGGAAAAGATATAAATTGTTTTCTTCACCGTGAGCTTGCCGGCCTTGCCATGGGGATACTTCCAGGTGATTGTGTTGCCAATGCTACGTCTAGCTTCCAAGGTTCGAATCCTGGTAAAAGACGACCCCAGGCGATATCTGGCAGTGATTTTTTTTTACTTTTTATGTTTTTTTCAGTCTTTTGCTTGTTGAGACTCTCCCCGTCGTTCAGATGCCATAGACTTAAATATTTTTTGGTAGAATTTGTTTTTGTCTAAATGTGTGTGCCTCTGGTCCTATAGCCCGGTCAGTAACTATAGGCAAACAAGAATCTATTGAAGGCGTCAGAAGCAGTCTCTATTCTATACACTGAAAAAGTGTTACTGCATGACTACAGATATTTTCCTTGTAACATGAAGGAGCCTACGAGAACGATTTTTCAATTTATATTTTTACTTTAAATAATATGTCATTACATTTTATATTTGTTATTTTATCCTGAAGGCCTTATTTTTTTTCTCTACTCTTCTCTTCTTTTCTTTTCATTTTATTTCTTTTGCTGTCTTTTCTTTTCTTTCCTTTTCTTTTTGGTGTAAATGTATGTGTGTTTGTGAGGAGGGCTGGTGCGAGAGAGGGGGAGGGAGACACATAAAAATGATAAACATGTCGTACTCTCTTCCAACACTATTTAATATACATCATGTATGCATTTCTGTGTACCTTATCAGCACTTTGAGTTCTCATGTCATTGTTGTTGTTTTTGTTGTAGTTGTTTTTGTTGCTGTTGTTGTTGTTGTTGTTGTTGTTGTTGTTGTTGTATTTGTTGTTGTTTTGCCATAGATGTTGTTACTATTACTACTGTTACCGTTGTTGCTACTACTACTGCTGCTGTTATTTTTGTTCTTGTTGTTGTTGTTGTTGCAGTTTTGTTGTTATAGTTGTTTTTGTTGTTACTGCTGTTCTTACTTCTGTTCGTGTTGTTGTTGTTGTTGTTTTTGTTGTTGTTGTCGTTTTTGTTGTTGTTTGTGTTGTAGAAAAAAAAGTTGAGGACAATTCACTTTTTCCTAAAAATAGAAGGTGGTTGCAAAAATTTGGAAAACCCCACAGAGAAAGGAAAATATATCAATTGTTTTCTTCACCGTGAGCTTGCCGGCCTTGCCATGGGGATACTTCCAGGTGATTGTGTTGCCAATGCTACGTCTAGCTTCCAAGGTTCGAATCCTGGTAAAAGACGACCCCAGGCGCTATCTGGCAGTGATTTTGTTTTTGTTTTTTTGTTTTTTTCAGTCTTTTGCTTGTTGAGGCTCTCCCCGTCGTTCAGATTCCATAGATTTAAATATTTTTTGGTAGAATTTGTTTTGTCTAAATTTGTGTGCCTCTGGTCCTATAGCCCGGTCAATAACTATAGGCAAACAAGAATGTATTGAAGGCGTCAGAAACAGTCTGTATACTATACACTGAAAAATTGATACTGCATAACTACAGACATTTTCCTTGTAACATGATGGAGCCTACGAGAACGATTTTTCAATTTATCTTTTTACTTTATATAATATGTCATTACATTTTATATTTGTTATTTTATCCTGAAGGCCTTATTTTCTTTTCTCTATTCTTCTCTTCTTTTCTTTTCATTTTATTTCTTTTGTTTTCATTTTTTTCTTTTCTTTTCTTTTTATGTATGTGTGTGTGTGTGTTGAGGGAAGAGGGGGGGGTGGACACATAAAAATGAGAAACAAGCCGTACGCAAGTGAAAAGGGTACTAATGGAAAGCTCTCTCTTCCAACACTTTTAAATATGTCTACATTTCTGTGTACCTTACCGGCAGAGTGAGCTCTCTCGTCATTGTTGTCCTTGTTGGCATGGTTGTTTTTGTCTTATATGTTGCTACTACTACTGCTGCTACCGTTGCTGCGACTACTGCTGCTGCTGCTGCTGCTGCTGCTGCTGCTGCTGCTGCTGTTGTTGTTGTTCTTGTTGTTGCTGTTTTTGTTGTTAACGTTGTTATTGTTGTTACTGCTGTTCTTGTAACTATTGCTCTTGATATTTTTGTTGTTGTTGTTTTTGTTATTGTTGGTGTTGTTGTTGTTGTTATTGTTGTCGTTTTTGTTGTTGTTTCTGTTGTGCAAAAAGTTGAGGATCGTTCCCTTTTTCTTAATATAGACAGTCGGTGCAAAATCTGGAAAACCCCACAGAGAAAGGAAAATATATAGATTGTTTTCTTCACCGTGAGCTTGCCGGACTTGCCATGGGGATACTTCCAGGTGATTGTGTTGCAAAGGCTACGTCTAGCTTCCAAGGTTCGAATCCTGGTAAAAGACGACCCCAGGCGCTATCTGGCAGTGATTTTTTTTTTCAGTCTTTTGCTTGTTGAGGCTCTCCCCGTCGTTCAGATTCCATAGATTTAAATATTTTATTGGTAGAATTTGTTTTGTCTAAATTTGTGTGCCTCTGGTCCTATAGCTCGGTCAATAACTATAGGCAAACAAGAATCTATTGAAGGCGTCAGAAGCAGTCTCTATTCTATACACTGAAAAATTGATACTGCATGACTACAGACATTTTCCTTGTAACATGAAGGAGCCTACGAGAACGATTTTTCAATTTATATTTTTACTTTAAATAATATGTCATTACATTTTATATTTGTTATTTTATCCTGAAGGCCTTATTTTCTTTTCTCTACTCTTCTCTTCTTTTCTTTTCATTTTATTTCTTTTGTTTTCATTTTTTTCTTTCCTTTTCTTTTTATGTATGTGTGTGTGTGTGTTGAGGGGAGAGGGGGGGGGGACACATAAAAATGAGTAACAAGCCGTACGCAAGTGAAAAGGGTACTAATGGAAAGCTCTCTCTTCCAACACTTTTAAATATGTATACATTTCTGTGTACCTTACCGGCAGAGTGAGCTCTCTCGTCATTGTTGTCCTTGTTGGCATGGTTGTTTTTGTCGTATATTTTGCTACTACTACTGCTGCTACCGTTGCTGCGACTACTACTACTGCTACTACTACTGCTGCTACCGTTGCTGCGACTACTGCTGCTGCTGCTGCTGCTGTTGTTGTTGTTGTTGTTCCTGTTGTTGCTGTTTTTGTTGTTAACGTTGTTTTTGTTGTTACTGCTGTTCTTGTAACTATTGCTCTTGATATTTTTGTTGTTGTTGTTTTTGTTATTGTTGGTGTTGTTGTTGTTGTTATTGTTGTTGTGTGTGTTTGTGGTAGCCTATCCGTTCGAAATGTTCGGAGCCCCGAAGAGTGTGCTCTTCGCCAGGGCCACCGCCTCCCTTGGGTAGCGGGTGAGGCAGTCCAACCTCCCTGAATCCTCCCCGAAGAGATGCCACCGCCGGGCCTCCGTGGCGGGGCATCTCTGCAGCCAGT